ACTACTATAATTAATTTTAGGATTATGCCAGAGAAAATTTCTTGAAATTTGGAATATTATTTACTAATAATAAATAAATTTAGAGGGAAGAAGCAACAACAAAAAAAAAAAAAAAAAAAAAAAAAAAAAAAAAAAAAAGGTTTAAAAAGATTTTGCGGTAAAATTCTAGTATACGGTAAGGCTTTGGCACGATTTTGAAAATTGTCGCCAAGACCAAAATGACCCGTTTACTGCGCATCATGATGTCGCAAAATCCCATTATTATTCTAAACAAAGAACGTCTATGTAAAGAAGAAAAGGTTCCATACAAGTAAAATGCTATTACGCCGTTAGAATGCGGAGGGAAAATTTGTCAAGAGATTTGGCGACGGAACCTGGCGGCCAGAATTTCTCTCTTCGCGATGTGTACAGGAAATTGAGAAACACGTGTTAAGAAGAAACGCTCTTTGACAAAAAGAAAACTACGAAAATCCGTTTTAAAATTATTGCGAAAAATCCACGCAATAATTTTAAAAACGGATTTTCGTTAAAAACGGGATTTCGAAACGTTTTTTTTCCCCTGAAAACAACTAATCCATGAATTAATTTACTTGCGCCAAAAAATATTTTCGTTTTTTTTAGAGTTTAACCACTTGCGCTAAGACTAAACTTCACGGTTGCGGTGCCGTGCGCTACAATATAACAAGCGGTAAAGTGTCTCATTTACGCCGCTCCGCATCTGCGAGCGCAATCCAGAGCTGTAACTCGAGAAATAAACAATCTCGTTGTTAGGCGACGTGTGCACCACGTTATTTTCATTTTTGCGATAAATGCTTATCGACGTGGTGTTCACGTCGCTCACAATTTGAGACAAAAGCATCTCGACGTGCGTGGCACGTCTTTTTAGCGCAAGTCGTTCAAGAAATTTTAAACGATATTCATTTTATGAACTCTTGATAACGTGACCTTCGAACTTCGACACCGGTTTCGATCTTCGGCGACAGATATATCAGACATGCACAGCTGTTTCCCTCTATGATGGAACGGAGCCACGTCTGTTGCAGAAAAGTTTTCCTTCTTTACAATAAATACATATTCTTTGATTCTAACCTCCATGGTACCGTATACTAGGATTAAACGCATTTTGTTTTATACGAGAACAGGTACTTTCTTTAGTTCATGCACTGCACATGCGATTCTCGAGAATACTGGAAACCAAAAGTTGCGGGAAAGTTGCTTTGCCTTTCTAAAAGACAATCAAATTGGAGCTGCGAAAATTGGCTCTATGCCAGCTATCCGAATGACACTCACGTGATACATAATTCGCCAAAAAAGTTATCTCTTCCGACGTCGGCGCAAAAATCGCTTTTTTTGGCGGCATCGTTGTATGAACTTCCCTGACTTTTCCAGATTTTGACAAGAATACTTAAATTCCCTGACTTTTCCCTGAATATTGTGGTCAATTTTCGAATTCCCTGACTTTTCCCGGTTTTTCAGGTAGCGTGGCAACCCTGTTAAAAATGACAAGCAGGAATCTCTGTGAGATGGATGCAAAATTGTATATATGGCCCATCTGTTTTTTGTTGAGGATTACATTCTCCATTCTTAAGCTTCAAAAAGTTAAATTAATCCTAAATAAATAAATGCTGGTGATTTGGATAGTTAGAAATCTCGATTTAAACCTCTGTACTGTATTACAGATTCTTGTATTGCAGGGAAAGCTACAATACTATATAACACTCACAAGCAATTAAGAATCCTTTCACATAGCTTCCAGTTGTTTGAACATTTTGCAGTTTGGTAGCTATCTACTAAGGAATCATTTTCTGTGCATCCTTTGAGCAGTTGCTATATTCTTGTCTACACCCTAATACACAAAATGCATACCAGTAAGATCTGCTTTTATCTGATGTTAAAAAGATTTAGATTAGAAATGACATTTTACAGCAGCTGATCACTCTGACATATGAATCTCAATGGAGCTCCATACCACTTTTGTCCGCACATTTAAGGCAACAAACATACAACATAAAAATTTTCAAATTTTCAATTTTGGGTTAAAAAAATAAAGTAGCCTAAGGCAATTCCAAAAATATATCATTTACGCATGTTTAGATATTTTAAAAGACCGAAATCTTTTATTACAAAATATAAACAAGCACTAGCAAGCCCACCAGTTTAGAAGGGACAGATGTCTGCTATGTCAACAATAAAGCCATATTATTCAGCTGGTAAAAAGTATGTTTATAAACATTCTTTGTTAGAACCTGTTTTATTAACTGAGTGTCTAAAAAAGAAAAACAAAAACAAAAAAACCCTCTACTGCCACATTGAATTTATGAAAGAAGTTAAAACCCATCGCTCAACTGGTCTAATGTTTAACGCCGCTGACTGCCGTGCCGAAGGGCCCGGGTTCGAATCTCGAAGAAGCAAAGAAGCACTGATATTTGTAAATGTATACTGTCCATGCGGCATGGGTGCACTCAAAATATGCGGTAAGCCAAAAAGAGGTTGGTGGTAGGGAAAGAGGAGTGGGAGATCCTATGTCCCATACCCCCTGGGGTTCTCTCCATAAAAATTGGGGGTGGAACTGAGCTAAATAACACTGTCACCTGTAAGGTGCTTAAGGCTGTTGCCAACAACAGGTACTCCTTGCACTGTTATACGTCAGACAAGTGAAAATCAACAACCCCGAAAGAAAGTTAATAATTGCATCTGGACATGCATACCAAGAACTGTTTTTGTGAGTGTCATCACATTAAAATTATGTTTATTAGATGCAGTAATAAGTTTTAATGATAAGGTACAAAGCCACAATACAGTAATGTAATTATCAGGAATACAACCAGGATTTTATACGGTAAAGTTTTTGTGAAAATAAATTGCAATAGAATTCGTGTTGCTCATCTCGCTCACCAAAAGCTTTCTAAAATGGCTAGAAAGAAACACAGAAACAACTAGATGGAGAAATGCCAGTTCAAGATGATTATAGGGCAGGAAGATATTAAAATGATTTTTTTTATAAATTATTAGTGTTTAAATGTTTTTTTTTTTTTTTCAAATTATTTATTTATTTATTTATTTTTTTTTAACTTTCAGTACACTTTTCTTAAAATCTATTCAGCCTAGAAGGCTTAAATTTTCCGCACTTGTTTATCTTAACTATTTCCTTGCAACTACGCAGGATATAAAATTTATGATCGTTAGTTTTGAATCTATTAAAAATTTAATATAATTTTTTTCTAAGATTTTCAAAACATTTTACTAATTTATTTTAAATATTTTTCTTTTTAAGTAAAATGTATACTACTGCTTATTATTCTTAAATGATATGTTTTTAACCATCATGTAACATTTGAAGGAGTTTGATGCAGTATTTTTAAAGAAAAAGTGTACCAAACTAGCACACTGTCACAAAAGATTCGCCAAAAGTTAAACAACTGGGTTTTAAAAACATTAAGCTTTAAACTTATGTTTTATGTGTTTTATATAATCTTTGAGCTGTGTATTTTAAATGAAAAAAAAGAATTTAGAGTATATGTTTATTTTGAGAAAAGTTATACCCTAATAACTTTCGTCCCGAAATAGTTGCATTTTGCCAGTTGACATGTCACATGTCCCCTTAACAAAACCTGCTTTTCTTTATATTTTTGTCATATATTTTACTATTATGTTACCTAACACAATCTCAGCATGTATAACTACTGTCACACTATTTTAATAAAAAAAAAAAAAAATCTAAGAACTCTAATGCAACCACAAAATCATTCATTATATATGGCGATTGGAAACTGACCATACAGCAGCATACTCGGCTAAAAGATAATTTTTTTCATAGCTAAATGCTGGTATTTTGAACTTTTAAATTTTATATTGCTTATAAAATTGACATCAGTTTTTTTTTATTTTTTAAATGGGTTGAACAATTAAAATAGATGTTTACATGAGGTGTTGGCAAAACTGTGTACCAAGCTACTTTACTGATAAGCACTTCTTGCATAAAACACAACAAAGTAATGTAGCTTAAAAATCACTGGTTACCATACCAATACAACATGTTACATACAGCAATTTACATGAAAGTAATTCATTGTTTGCATTTAACAAGAGGCATAATAAATGCCACATGCATAATATGTATGAGTATTCTCTGTTTTTATTTACCAGATTAAGAAACAAATATGTGTATACCTAAATACACCTAAAAAGATTTTTAAATATTCTCATCAAATACACAAATATTAAAACAATGCTTGAAATTGTCTTTGCATTAAATTAAAAAAACATTCAGAAAACTACGTTTCCCATTTTCTTTTCAACTATATATATTTGAAATTACTAAGCACATAACCTTTCCAGCTTTACATTTTTAGGGGGGAGGTCTCCAAAATATTGCTTACTCCCTTGCAACATTTTTACAAAATTCTACTATTAAATTGTTCCACAAACAATATTAAAAAAAAAATATTTGCAAGATGAGTACAAGAACACATGTGAACAAGATATCCTATGAGACATCAGGTGATACACAGTAAAACAATCTCTATTACTGACAAAATAGACTTCATGTGAAGGTGGCAAATGGCAGTAAGGTTGAAAGGATTAAACCAGTGCAAATCAAGCAATCAAATGTACAAGCCTCATTATCTCTATAACAGAAAGTAAAATAACAAATGTGCATGAGAATGTTGACTTCATATAAACATTTTCTTATCAGTTTTCTGGAAAACACTTCAAACACCACATATCATGACAGATCTCAATTACTCCAACATAATGCATTATATATAATACAGATTGAACCTAACACAAATTTTAATAAGTATATAATTTTGTTAATTCACAAGATTTACACAGAAACTTGCACGTTTTTTTACTCATACAATGTCCTTCACAAATGAAGAAATCCAACTAAAATGAACACCTAAAACGCCTCAAAAGAATTTTATAGGAAAAAAAAAAAAAAAAAAAAAAAAAAAAAAAAAAAAAAGCAATGCAAAATTTAAAAAAAAAATTGGTACCTCCATTTTGTTTCTCTATTTCATTAGCTTCCAGTGCTTCCCAATCTTCTTCGGTTTCAGGATACTTGAGATACCTCCTACATTATAAGAAAATAAACTTCTTGTTCAACTGGAGTTCATAAAGTACAGAATAAGAAACATCTTTTATTAAATTAGAACAAAACAAGAAATATGCACAAAATGTACTAGTTATATATTTTATTATTATTATACAATTAAGCATACATTACCATACAAATTATATATATATATATAAATTATTAAGAAGTAAGTTTGTTAATAAACATTGTTTGAATTCAGAATATAAATTAAAGATCCAATGGCAGTGTAGAACGATGATATTTTTTAATTTAACAGACAAAGAATTTGAATAGTACAGATCTTGAAAGTGTGGAATGGCAGTACCACACAGACTGGTAGCTTGACAAGCAGCATGGATTATAAACAAACAGAAAAAAATGGAAAGATCACACCAGCCTTTTTTTTTGGGGGAGGGGGGCACCATGACCTGTTACCAAATTAAATTAAGTCAACAAATTCATAATTTACAACTTTTAAATACTGTTTAAAAAAGTTAATGTGGTGGCTGCTTTAAGAAGGAAGCATCAACATTTCTAGCATCAATTTATGTAAAAAAGAGTAAAAAAACTAAACACTGGGCATTTCTACCCATAACCTGCTTACCACAGATAGCTAAAGGCTAATGTGTAAGTATTGCTTATGCAGCAGATTATACAAAGATAATGTGTGCGGCTTGCTCATCGCAGTCAACTGTTAAGGGTCATTCACACTGGGGTTTATTTCAGCTAACGAAGACATCTGGCATAGCCAACACAGTTCCAAAACCAGTTTTTGCTCATTGTACAGCAAGTTGACAATTTTGAACTGCAAATATAGCAGACTTAGTCGACACATGGTTTGTCATACATAGTCGACACATGTTATGACTCCATTAGTTCAAGAAAAACCCCAATGGCAGATCTCCAAATCAAGCTACTAACACTGGATTCTAAGTTCTAGCATTGTTTCCCATAGAAAGCTCACAACTACTCAGGCAAATTTCAGTGCATACAATAGGGAATTCTTAACATTCTATACATTCATTCAGAAATTTAGGCACATTCTAGAAGAACACAAATTGACAATGCTTACCAATTATTAACCACTAACATTTCCTTTCAAACAAAAAACTGAAAAAGGCTTCCCACATCAAAACTGGCAATTAAACTTCATTTTCCATTTCACAACTGATATCCAATACATAAAAGGAACAAATAATATTATTGCTAACACATTACATCACATTCATGAAATTAAAAATATGATCCTATTAATTATGAAGATATTGCTAATGCACAAACAACAGACAATTAGTATAGAAAGAATTAAATAACAATAAAAAGAAAATTTAACAAATTCAGAAATACAATTACATTGTGATATTATCTACCAGAATAGCAAGACCTCATATTCTCAAGGCATTCCAAAAATTGTGTTTTAACAAATATCAGCCATTCTAACAAATAGAAATTCATGTCAAAATTAGTCTGTAGTCAATATGTACAGCCAAGTATTAGCAAAGAACAAGGTCAGATAATGTATTCTGTATCAAAAAGTTCAAATACATCACATCTCCGCTCCTTCACCATGTAGTGAAATTTTTAACTATTTTAACATAATCAACCAGATCTTATCGCCCATTTCCAACCTCTAATGCAGAGGTTCTCAACCATTTGAATAACGCATACCACCTAAACAAAAATTGAAAACCTTAGTACCACCACTACAAAGTATTACTACCAGCACCACTCTTAACAAAGCTCAGAGCACATAAATTTATGAGTGTTAGAGAAAAAACTCAATCAGGATGTTGTGGTTTTAATTTTTGAATTTAATAGTTAAAAATACTTTGCTTTTTTGAGTACCACCTATTTTTACCCTCCTCAAAGCAATTACTTAATTGAGGAATTTTATTATCCTTAAAATTTTCATTATGTCATGGAACACAAAAGTGAACAGACATTTTATCAACTGTGTTAGTTCATCTGAGAACAGCTTTCACAGAAAATACTGGCTACACTCTTTCTGAACTTATGTAAGGAAATTATATTATCTAATTATTCTTCTAACACACTGAATGCCAATGCTGATTTTATTGAATATACAGAACAACTTAAAAGCAGCAAACAGCAGCTTAAAACCAACTGGATCATATGCAGTATTTATTCCCAAAGATATGAAAACACGTTCACATGCATCTGTGCTATGTGATGCAGTACGACATCCACCTTTTTGAAGTGCTAAGTTTTCAATTCACCGTCAGATAAAACTAGCATTCATATCTAAAATGGACATGAACACTTGCTCTTCTAATACATTAAAACCCCAAAATTTTTGACAAACTCTGGCAGATGAGCATTTTCCCCCTATTTTTATGCAAATTATGATGATACTGTAGGGTAAAAATGAGACAGTCCACACAAAAGTAAGAAATTTAAACATGTGGTCCCTTCACAAGCCATAATTTTTGAATTGTTACAAAGTGTGAGACAACACATCTAACACATTACAGAAGCAATAACTTGTTCAGTAAAATAACAATCTTGTAATGCCTCTACTTGACATCACAAAAGCATAATTTCATGAGCAGTGTCAGCAGACTTTAGTAAGCTTCAGCATATCTGTCATTCAATCCTCTTGATCTCAGGAGCCTGACTGATCAATGACTTTATAGTTTATAGTTAACACATCTGAAAATTAAAAAGGGCACGACTAATTCAGAGTGCAAAGTGTCCTAGGCACAGGAAGTAAACAAAACAGTTTAAAATTCTTGACAGATTTCTGCTACTAGCAAGATCCTTACATAATGAGGACAATAACTGTTTACCTTCCAATAAATAATTGCTTCTATGCATTCAAATATTTGATTATCGTTTTGTTTTGATATTATTGATAGTGCTTTTTATAGATTTAAAATAAATATACTTCAGTTCACTATGCAGTTAACACGCAACCGAAATAAAGAGAAACCAACACCAATCACTACAGTGCAATTGCCCCATAGTGTGCCACTTATACTCTTATAGTATAACTGCTAATCTTTAAAAATACATAAATACATACAGTGTCTCAAAAAAGTGATGGGACACTTGTGCTTTATAAAAGGAAACCGTAATAAAATAAATTAAAAAAGCATGTAAAAATTTTTTGTCGGTGTGTTTCATACTTAAATTTAGTAACAATTTTTACATAACATACATTTTCTCAAAATATTAAAATATTAATTTAATAAAAATACAATTGTTTAAAACGGAGCAAAAAATGGCTCACATAAGTGATGGGACACAATTAGATACTACTACGTACTACAATAAAAATAATTTTGGGGTTTTTTATTTTTACTCAAAAGCAATTGACAATAATTTATAAAATCATCTGCAGTGTTTCTCTCCAGTTTGTTTTGGAATTGTGTTTTTTAGCTCTGTGCAGCCACGAATGCTAAACGAAAAGAAACTTTGCCTGAAATTTGAAAATTAGTTATTAATTTGCATATTGAACATGGAAAATCTATTAGAGAAACTCCTGAAACAGTTAAATTGGGTCATTCAACAGTTTTCAATTTCATTAAACGATATAAAAAGAATCATATGATTCAGGATAAAAGAAGACCTGGCCGACCATCAAAGCTATCCAATGGATCGTTCGAATATTTAAAAAAATCCAAGAATGAGTGCTCCTAAAGTTGCTGCTGATTTACAAGCATTATATGGAGTAATTGTTAAACCTGAGACTATTAGAAGAGTAATTCGATCTACTGGATATCATGGTAGAGCAGCCAGGAAAAAAAATTCTTCATAAGTGAAAAGAATAGAAAACTCAGACTGGCTTTCCCAAAATCCAACATAAATAAGAATTCTGATTACTGGAATGAAGTTATATTTGCTGATGAGAGTAAATTTAATATATTTGGTTCTGACGGTAGAATCTTGGTGTGGAGAAAACCCAGGGAAGAATTTCGAAAACAGAACTTGGTGCCAACAGTAAAACATGGTGGAGGAGGAGTTATTGTATGGGGGTGTATGTCGTCCGCTGGAGTTGGTACTCTTGTTTTATTGACAGTATAATGGATCAGTACAAGTTTATTGACATTTTAAATCAAAATTTGAAATCTTCAGCGCAAAAATTGAACTTTCATAACGATTTAAAATTCTACCAGGACAATGACCACACGCACACTGCTTTGAACGTTAGACTCTGGCTGTTGTATAACTGTCCTGAAATAATAAAAACACCACCACAATCTCCAGACTTAAATCCCATACAGAATATTTGGCCAGAATTGGAATCAAGAATTCGCAAACACACCATTTCTTCAAAACAACAATTAAAATCAGTGCTTCAAGAAGAATGGGGGTAAAATCACTCCAGAAATCACAAAAAAATTAGTCGAATCCATCCCAAGAAGATTTAATCCTGTTTTAAAAGTAAAAGGAAATCCAACAAAATAATAAAACCTTTTAAAAAGTAAAATTTTTGGATAAATATTTGATGGAAAAGTAGGTGTCCCATCACTTATGCGAGCCATTTTTTGCTCTGTTCTAAACAATTTTACTTTTATTAAATTAATACTTTAATATTTTGAGAAAATGTATGTTATGTAATAATTGTTACTAAATTTAAGTATGAAACACACCCACAAAAAATGTTACATTTTTTTAAATTTATTTTTTTACAGTTTCCTTTTGTAAAGCACAAGTATTCCATCACTTTTGTGAGACACTGTATATATAAAAAAATTGGAGGTTCTTGTTCTGCACTACTTTTAACAGACCTCTGAATTGACTTAAATTTGCTTTATAATGTCCAATTTAGGTTATTCAACTGTGATATAAAATGTAAAATACATCATTATGAATTAGGTATTCTAAATTTTCTCTCCTTTAGCTTATTTCATTTTGTAATTTTCTTACACTTCTATATTCAGTAAATAGGGGAAAAAATACATTACGGGCTATAGTAAGGATGAACCTCATAATGTACCAAATACAGATGCAAACACAATTAAATAAAAATTGTAACTAACTAAACATTACTTTAAGTTCTACAAATGTCTACATCGTATTAAGACAATTTAAGTAAAATAAAATTTAATAAGAAAAATTATGCTGAAAATTAATTAAGGGTGAGAGAAAAATTTTCACAATTTAAGTTTCATTAGTGTGATTAAGTTCCAATTAATGCTGAAAATCACTTTGCTTAATAAAGGATAAGAATTAAAAATGAGGAAATTTGGCAATGCTCTAGAACCTCCTGGTAAAAGTGAGAAAGTATGGTTGGCAGCTATGTTACAGGAATAGACATCTCTGGATACAAACAAACATGTGGTTTTGATAAATGAATGAAATAAGTGGTGCACGAACATCAGCATTCAGAAATCATCGTGTAATTAGTCCAGAGAAAGTCTCAAAACAATCAGAATAGTATCACATTATCAAAGCAAATATGATAAATTTTCTCTTTTGTGTTAATATAGTCCGAGCAATCACAAACAATGTTCTGTTAAATTACATTTAAACTTTGCTTAATTATTCAGTTTTGTAAAATGCTAAAATTGTGAGATTGCATTTTTCAAATTTAAATAATTATTTGTGATCAATACATGCATCTGTATTAAAACATGATATGCAAACAAGATAAATATGGACAGTAAAGCAAGCTTACGACATGCTTTTAAGCAGCCTCCCATACAGAACTTCAAAGGAACAACCTCTAGCTGGAACCGGCAACAAAAATGGATGGCCAAATAGTTGAGAGGATGTAGCCCCATAATTTACACCTGGCTTTGGTCTAAACATGAAAGAAAGGTAATGATTAATAGGACAATTTAATGAAATATGAATGCAAATCAAACTACAACTAAAAGTATGATTTAAATAATGAACTCAATCGAATAATAGGAATTATATAAAAAAATTATAAAATAAAACAGAGAATATCATTATAATCTTATACACCATTTTAATACAAAATTAATATCATACTGCTCTTACAACATTCATTTAACCTTTGATGGGCGGTATATAAAATAATTTAAACTGGTAAAATTTTGCATGAACTATAAATTATGGACCCTAAGGACACAAAATTGAGACTTTAAAAAAAAAAAAAAAAAAAAAAAAAAAAAAACCTAGAGCGAAATCCTGAATTTTGAGAGCCGGTATATATTTTATACCGCTGCCCCGCTAGGACATTTTTACTTCCTTGTACGAAGTAAAAAGGAAGTATTGTAATCGCGAAAAGCTTCAGGCAGCATATTTCAACAAAAATATTCACTTTGACCGCTTTCGAATGCAATTTTTTCAAGGAAATAAGCGTTTAAGATTTACCTCGTAATTTTAAATACAGATATTTTCAGTTTTTATGTATTTTTGCCTTGTCGCGAAGTGAAAACTGAATTAATTGAATGAGAAATACTCAATCATCTGTGAAAAACTGTTTCTTTTTTGTTTAGTTTGCTTAATTTCTTTTATACATAGTTCTAGCTTTATTATAGTATTTGAATAGAACATGTGGCAACAATTAGATAATTCTTTAAATGATATAAATTTTGTGCATTTTGAGTTATAATATGAACGAAATATAATGCAATTAAAAGTCGTTAATCTGGACTCGTCGGGACTTCGGCGATTCCGGATTATAGATCAACAGTTTAAATCTGGTAAAATGGCATGCAGAAATTATAAAATTAAAAATATGAAACCGTAATTTACAAAATAAAGAACAATTATGATCTAAAGGGCATCAAAATTTACAAAAAATTGCTCTAACAGTCTGCAAAAAATAATAATCCGGATCCAATTCGAAGATTAAGGAACAACGCAATCTGCAACATTAACTGAAATAGATAATTAGATAATTTTAGCTTAGCTTATCCCGTCCGATATACATTAAACGCGCATTCGTAAATGTATTTTGCGCATGCGCACACGCAAATTTGCAGCGGTAAAGGTCTTACGAGCATGCGTGAACGCGACGCATGCGCAGAAAGTTTGTAAGTCCGGATTATGGTTTGTAAAGGTCCGGATTATGGGTATCCGAATTAACGACTTTTGACTGTACTGTTAAGTAAACCTAGCGCCAGAGTGTCGCTATGATATACAAAGTTAATTTTAAAGAATGCATTTATTCTATTGTGTTTATGCACTGTCGGCAAAGTAGGTTTAATTCAATCTAATAAGTTTAAATAAAATGTAAGAAAAAATGCGTATAATTTAATATTCCATACAAGGAAGTCATGTGGTGTACACATCAGATTTTTTTCAAGGTAGTTTCCAACTGTTAATCTTTGTTTTTTAAAATTAATTTTGGGTACTTTTGATGTGCGTCTGTAGTGATGAGTGCTTGAATATAGTTATGCAAGTCTAAAGACAACATTTTTTAAAATTTTGGCAGAAATTTAAAATTTTAAAAATAAAATTTATATTTTTATGCACTTTGATGATGAACATACTTATGTAAAATATGGGTAAAAAGCTTTTCAACTTGATTTAAATTCAACATTATTTTATAAAAAAATTTTTGCAAATATAACACTGCATGTGTAAATTGTATCATGCTGTAACTGAACTAGTATAATATTACAAGCAGATGTAACTCAGCCGAAAATTATAAAAATTTTAAAATGAAGCATTACGACCGACTCAGCTGAGAAAGTATGTTGCATTTTTGAAGTTGTATTTTATGCTTTAGATAATATGTGAAAAAAACTCATGCTTCATACTATGATATGAAGAATCGGCCCCCCTCCACGCACACACACTTTTAGATCATCGAGAATCATAAGGGTCCCTTTTTTACTTTTTGTAAATATTTTGTTCAGGAAGAAACACCCTTAAACAATTTTATTATTTGATACACCTCAAAGCTCTTATTCTGATTTTTCAACCGCTTTGGCTTCATAGGGGCTCCTTTTCAACTTTTGGATAAATTGGTAGTCTAAACATTTTGCAATCTAAAACGGGCCTTAGAAATATTTTTCCTCCTCCTTTCACTCAACTGTGAAATTTCCGAAACAACCTATTTGTATAAACCAGAGCGCAAATTTCTCATGTTCTCTAGTCTTTCATCTGAAATTAACAAAAAAATTAAAAAGAATTTCCCTAAAGAATAAAAGCATGCTTTCAAACCAGCAGTTTTTGTGATTACACTATGAGATGGACCTTAAGAACATTTCCATTTTAAGTGAGCTTTCCCTTTGTGTGATCTTATCACACCTCACAAAGGGAAGAAGGCGTGACTCCCGAATGACAAATTTATTGTCAATCACCTCTTTTCATTTTCTTGCATTCCAGAATTTTGGAAAACGGGAAGCAACAGGTGTCTTTTGGAGGCTAGCATGCCCCGTTTAACCCCCACAATTGTGTAAAGTTTTTACCCCAGACAGCAATTTTGAAATCGATGAATCTTTCTCTTGGAAAAGGGATAAGTGCTGAAATAAAAATTTTAGCTAAACACAGATGAATGAAACTTGAGCTGAGTACACAAAGAATAAATGAAACTAATATACTTGTATTCCAGTCCTAGCGCAGAGTCAGTAAACTCCCCATTCCTCCATGAACATAATATTTAATCCTAAATGACTTATTAAATTAAATCATGAAAAATTATTACATCATATAAACTGTTATAATAATAAAGAAATTCTGTCATGTCACAGGGTAAAAAACGAAAAGACTGGTGCTGCCATCTATTGACATGGTACCCTCAGTGTGGGCACCGGTATATATTATATATCGGTTTTAAAATCGTATAAATAATCTTCTGTTAATTATCACTTCTGACTGAAATGAAGTAAATATATAAGATTCAGCATGTGCACGTCATATATTTGCAGATTTTTAATTTTTCCTTTCCCTCCAATAGAATTTATCAATCTTCCAACATAATACCTTGGAACGAGGTATATTAATTTCATAACTTTAAAATAGTGAGCATTCATAGGGTGATGTTGCCATTTAGAATCGAAAGAAAATACTAGACACTTACGATTATAGCTTTTGGTGTAGAAAAATTAGCATTTTTTCGGAGGTTTAAAAATTGATCGGTGCCCTTCAAAGGGTTAACATTTCAATAACTAGGAGTAAGTTTAATCAGTTAATATACATTTCAAATCACAATATTAGTAAATGTAAAACATATCATGAGTATAAAACCTCTAGAAATCACAGTAAAATATGCACATTTTGAACAGAAAAGGAATTTTTTTAAACTTTGTTAAAATCATAAAACATTAAAATAAAAATAGTATACAACACAACATCTATCAGGCATGAAAAATATATTAGAAATATTAGTAAAAATAACGGGATATGCTCATTAAAAATTATCGATCTAAATTTTATAACTGAGGTATGTTATTGAAAGAAAATTCAAACGATGATTGTCAAGGGCACTGGCCAATGCTAAACTATGGGTTGAAAGTCTAATAAAAAACAACTTTAGTAAAAAAACAGTAAATTTAAATAAGTTTTCAAAGTAAAATTAAGCCAAAAGACACTGGTGACCTTTGCTGATGACCAATGATTGTCAAACCAGAGGTCATAGGATGTGATGTGATTAAGTCTGATAGATATTTTTATATTAAACTGAAAGACAATGGTGTCACTCAAGGCTTACTGATTATCGGTAACTTATAGGTTAACTATCGATTAAAGATGAGAATTCTGTATTTTTGCGAGAGCAGAATGTTAAACAAGAATACTTGATATAATACATTTCTGTTCATTAATTATACTACTGCAAATATTAAATGATAATCACAATTAAAATTATACAATAGATACAAGTAATTTTTAAGATGGGAAACAACAGCATAATTAATGCAGAAAATATATGGTTATAAATAACCGTGAGTTTAATGTACACAAAAAGCCAGACCAGAAAGCTCATGAAATACAGAATTCCAAATAGCTTAAGAATATAAAAAATGGAATTCATGTTAGGGAAAACAAATAAACGGGAAAAGCTTCCACTCTTACATTATAAAAACAATCATCTTATTTCTTACCAACTTGAACATCACAAGATTACATTTAAAACAGTATTTCAGACAAAAATGCCGAAGCATTCCATTGGCCTTATATATGAAAGTAAAACATCCAATTTGATTATTTAATCTTGTCGAACATGGCGAGATGTTGTCAATCATTCTGGCAGAAGTTTAAACAAAGAGATCATTCTCTATTCATTTAGATAATAAAGAGATACAAAATACAGATATCATATATAAAAAATTAAATTCCTTATTATAATTTTTCACATTATATCATCATTGTTTATCTATTTTCAAACATGCACATCATAGCTTTTTTTAAGTCCAGATCCTGTAACTTTGAAAATATTCCACTTCCTTCTGTCCCAAATAATAATCATCTTTTTCAAAAAAAGTAAAATAGAATTTTTATTATTCTTTACATAAATTAAACCGTTATAATGAGAATCAATTAAATTTACATTAAACAAAAATTTTTTATGATTATGTTGTGACATCATGCATATCCACCATTATTGGTGCTAAATTACACTGTTTGGCAACAATGTATATATAAGAGTTCATACTTGCCAACCTATGACACTACAAAATCAGGAGATTTTTCACAATGTTAAAAAGACTTTTTAAATGATAAAAATATAGTTTTTAATATGAAACTTTAAATAATTACTAAGTCTTAAATGCAGCAAAACAAATACCTTAGACATAAAAAACATTTTTTATACTTTCATCGTAAAAAAAAAAAAAAAAAAGGCACTTTAATCAGTTTTTTCATACAAATGTTATGGACAGTGGCAGATTTTGCTCTCGTTAAGAAAGGAATTTCATAATTTTGTTCATAGCAATTGCCACGCAGGCCTGCTTTCGCTAATAAAAGTTTTTCTAATGTGTCATCACTAAAATTAGGTCTAAATTTAGTCCTCGTTTTCGCAACAACACTGAAAATCCTCTCACACTCCGCATTCTGCTTTGTAGAATTGTGTTCAGAACATCGAATGATGGCAAAGTGAATTGTAAAAAAAAAAGCAAAAAGCTTTGTTAAGGTCCGAAGAAAAAACCATAAATATTCGTTCTTCACAAGATAAACTTACAGTAATCGGAAAATGTTTCGTGTGTTGAGCAATTTTTTTTTTTTTTTATTTTTTATTTTGAGAGAAATTTGTATCAGCTTTACGCTTATATTTTGCAGTATTATTTTGAGAACTGCCAGTTGAATTGCTGAATGATGCAGAAATTACAAAAAATCAAAATTTTTCTCATTTCAGTATTATGCAGCTGTTGGAAACTGTTTCAATTTTCCCTTTCTTTTAGAACTCCTTTCAAGATAATATTAATATCAACAATGTGTTCATCCACATTTAATGGTAAAGAAGCTGCCCCTTTTTCAGCTGCTAAATTTAAGAGGTGACAGGTGCACCTCATAATCTGCAAATCTGAATTTGTCTTTCTTAAGATGCCTGCAACACCAGTCTTCAAGCCTACCATTACTGGTGCATTATCGGCACCAAGCGCTAAGCATTATCCAGAGGGACTGCATTTTATTTTAAAGTTTTAATAATTAGCTGTGCTATATTAAAGCCTGTCGAATGTCCTTTCTAAAGTGGGGACAGAAAGTAAACTGCACTCAGTTTCTGAGACTCTGGATTAAAAAAGAAACAACAATGGATACAGTTTTTTGAATTGTATTTTGCTTCATCCGTAGAGAGGCAGAACGGAGCTGTTTTAATGCAATCAATAACTGAAGATTTGTTTTTCAAACCCATTTCTTTAACAACTGCACTTCGTATTTCTTAGCGATTTCACTATCGGGAACATTTTTCTAAATAAAGCTGCAGCGGATCCGATGCATTGAGTGGCAGGTTGTGCTCCATAAAAAGGCAAGAGAAATACATTCTGCAATTAATCACTTTTTGGTCTTTTGTTTCCGAATAAACTTTAATATTTTCGTTTTTTCAAACAACTCATGTTGTCCTTGTGTTTTTGTGTACGCCGTTTGAGAACATCTGCCCTTCCACCAAGCGGAATCGAAAAATCGCAACGACAGATGGTACCATCGCAATTTATTACATTCCTGGAAGAAATATGGAAGGAATCAACTGTGTACGATTTTTGAAACGTGCACGAGTATTTCACCTTTCTCGCAGACACAACAAAAGACGATAATTTCTAAAACTCTCTCCCAAAGGCACGTGCACTCACACAACTCAGGACAAGATGAACGAAATAACGAAAGAACATCGAAATAACGGCCCAACGGCCAAAGAATTTTCTTTGCAATGGCCTTGAGCTTGCTTTGTGCTCATTGGCGAATATATGCCAGATGATACGCAGTGGAGCTCGATGCCCATTGGAGAACTGGATAACGACGTTTCTGGATACGTATGCTGTCACTCACAAAGCAGAAATTCTCACCTGATTCGCAAGGTTTTATTTTAGATATAATCTAGAGAAATTCAGTTGCTTTCAGATTCCAAAATCACTTTTTTTTTTTTTTTGTTCATAAAACGAGTATTAAGCCAGTTCCATAAAAATCGTGAGAAATATTAAGAATAAGAAAAAGTCGGGAGAAATATATTGTAAATCGGGTTGGCGGGAGAGCGGTCGAAAATCGGGAGTCTCCTGCCTAAATCAGGAGAGTTGGCAACTCTGAGAGAGTTAATATTATTACAAGTTCAATAATGGAGATACAAATCTTTCATTTATAAAATTTTTTGGAGGAAAATGTTTTTGAAATTCAAAAATATTCTGGCTACTTGAGCTTTCCAGCTAGCTGAATGCCAAACAGTCAGGCTTTACTGTAATTCACACAGCAAATAACAAAGGAATCATAGAACATTTAAAGAAATGAAATGTCTAAAATACTAAAAGTAATTTAAATTCAAATACCTTCTTTCTTTTAAATATACTGGGATTATGTATTCAGATCCATCTTCTTGAGCAGCAGGAATTTCATACCTAAAATTAAAATTTGCGTGAATGATAATTGCTTCCAAAAATATTTATTTTAAACAAATATTATCAATTTGGGACAAAAACAGAATACTTACACAAAAATTTCATCTCTTTCCAATATGTTACTTAAATGTTCTTCTTTATTGAAAATTTTATGTAACCTGTGATTATAAACATCTGCAACTTTCAACTGAAAAAAGGATGAAAATATTGAAAAAATTTCAGAGCATAATACACCATAATTTATGAATTTAAAGACACTGCATTTAAACAATGAACTCAAATACAATGAATTTTGAAAAAACAGTAAGGTGTCTAATATTTTGAATTTACTGACACAAATTGTTATTCATAACTGCTATAAAATGAAAAAAAAAGTTTAAAAATTGAGATGAATTATATTAAATGACAAATATGACTTACATTTCCAGCTGGAATGTGAGTCATTCGACATACTGCTTCACAGAGATCTTGAATTATACCCATCTTTGGCACTGTAACCTTCATCTTAAATAAAAATAAATAAATAAATAAAAAATTAAAAGAATTTAAAATATGTTTACTATGCATATTATGGAAATAATTAAATTTTTACGATTAACTGCCCTTGAATGTCACAGGTACAAGCAGAAGCTAGGCCAGTACCTCTGTAGTACCACAGGTGATTGAGTATTGCTGTAGTTCGAGGGTTTTCCACTCCTCTTTCCCTACCACCAATCTCTGAAGAGAACTTTCAACTTGCCATGTATTTTGAGTGCCACCTTGCCCCACAAATACTATACATTTAAACACCCATGTCTTCTCCAGGATTTGAACCTGGGACCCATTGGCAGCCAGTGCACTGTTACACCAGCTGAACTTCCTTTTGTATGATACAGACTAAAAATCATTCAAAAGCAGTTTTATACATTTTAAATATGAATATGCTTGAATAAATCTTAAACAACTACTCACTTTCAATGGCCTTTTAAGAGGATCCTTTGTAACTAATAGGATTTCTATTTGTCTTTCTTTCTTGATTGGTAAAGGCAGTGATAAATAACAAAAAGGATCAAATGTAACAGAAACTTTAGAACATTCAGGGCACACCAGCGTAGATTTCAAAAGGCCATGAAATATGTCCACTATGATAGAATTGTTTCTCTTTAAGTAGTTTTCCCATGCTTCTTTAGCCACAAGCTATTAAAAAATATGCAATGTTACTATTAATATATAAAATTAAAAATACATACTGACAGAACAGTTACCTTCAGTCTGATAACAGTTTTCTTTCTGAGGGTTCGTACACATTTCTGCACATGAAAATTAAGTACTTTTAAGGACCATTAATGAAAAAAATTAAGGACCTATAAGCAAATGGGAACTGAATAAATTCAATTAAAAATATTATATATGCCTGAATTTCACTTTGTAATATCATCCTAAACTAAAATAGATTCCTACATAGTGCATTATTATAAACATGAATAATTACATAATTATTAATAAGTTTGAGATAAAATAAATTCATGCAGTTTATCAAGTAGCATTAAATATTTACACATAGAATAGGTAGGACATATTTGAAAGAAGATAAGTGACATTTACGTTTTACTAATAGTTAGCTTTATATGTTGATTTTTTTTTTTTTATGTCTCATTTTGTCACATTCTTAGTCAGTCTAGAGCAGAGGTTCTCAAACGGTGGTATGCGTACCACTGGTGGTATGCAAGAAGCAAATAGGTGGTACACAAAGAAGCAAAGTATTTTTAACTATTTATTTGAAAAATTAAAACCCCAACATCCTGATTGAGTTTTTTTCTCTAACACTCTTAAATTTATGCGATCTGAGCTTTGTTAGAGAGTGGTGGTGGTACTAAAGGTTTTGAATTTTTGTTTAGATGGTACACTTTAGTCAAAAGATCAGAGATTTCTAGAGAATCTCTGGTCTAGAGGTTTAGTAAATAGCAGGTAGATTCATGTCAA